CTCTCTCTCTCTCTCTCTCTCTCTCTCTCTCTCTCTCTCTCTTCCTTCCGTCTTCTAGGGCTTTACTTTTCTCCTTTCTCCCTCTTCCTCTTTCCGTCTCCCCCTTTCCCCTATCCTGACTTTGTCAGCCCCTGAAGGGCCCAGCTGCCTGCACTCACTTGGTGATCTTGAATAGCCTCAGGAGACGGATGCAACGGAGCACAGAGATGCCCAGCGGCGTCATGGCTCCTGACTCCACCAACAGAATCTCCAGGATGCCACTGCACACCACAAAGCAGTCAAAGCGGTTGAAGATGGACATGAAATACTGGCGCAGGCCCAGCCCATACATCTTCATCAGCATCTCAATGGTGAAGAGGGCCAGCAGCACGCGGTTGGCGACATCTGCAGAGAGTATCAGGGTATCAGGGCCGAGCATTGCTTCCTTCCCTCTTCCTCCTAGCCTCTGCCCCAGATGAGCCTCTACCAGCACACACGCCCTACCTCTCCAAGGCACTTAAGCCTTTCTAATTTACAGGACCTAGGAAAGGGCCAGCAAGATGGCTCAGTAGGTAAAGATGCTTGCTGCTAAGCCTGATGGCCTGAGATTGATCCCCAGAAGCCATATGTTGGAAGGAGAGAACAGAGTTGTTTTCTGCCCCTCCACAAAGTCAATCAATCAATCAATCAATAATACAAAACAACAACCCCCCTAGGAAAACCTAGTGAATTTTGCCCATCAAAGGTACCTAAAACTGTATTTAGGTCCAGCAGGCTAATCCATACCCTAGTTAGCAGGAAAAAAGCTATGTAAGTTCATGAAAATCCATCCTTCCTCATTAAACATAGTCTGTTTTCCTGGTAGAGAGAGCTTGGGCTTCACTAAAGGCAATCTGTCCTCATGTGCTTTGCCCAGCCCCATCCGGGAAACCCACTATCAGTAACTGTCTTTCTTAGTTACTTCTTCTTTTCTTTTTTTCGGGGGAGGGTTCTCTGTGGCTTTGGAGGCTGTCCTGAAACTAGCTCTTGTAGAACAGGCTGGTCTCGAACTCACAGAGATCCACCTGCCTCTGCCCACTTCTTCCTTCCAAATGGTCTCTTTGCGTTCTTTCATCCAGCTCTAGGTCAATTCCATGTTGCCAAATCCAGCAGATGCGAACTTTCATGTACTTGCTTTCCCACAATTCTGTTCATCACCTGCTTGCTCTTTCAAACACTCTCTCTACCACCTCCCTGGCTTCTGTGACAGCACATTCTTTAGGGTTTCCCAAATTGCACTCCCCTGTCTTCTCCTAATCCCATCTGCCCCACATTCTTTACCAAGTCACTGGTTGTTGGACTTGAGCCATGCACTATCCCCTGACAATCTGGCGATGTCCTACAAGCAAAGATCCATTGCTGTTTCTACCAAAGACTCCTACCTTTAATTCTTCAAAGATCCAGCCTCTCCATTGCGACCCAGACCCATTTTTTTTTCATCAGCTTCTTTGACACTACCATTAGATTGTCTCAGAGGCAGAGGTACCTCAAACTCAATATGCCAGCATCACAAGGGCAGATAATGCTTGTCAAAACTACATGGTGATTGGCTGTCTTTGCCATCTTAGAAAGCGGGACCGCCATCATCCATTTGTCTGCTCAGTTTAGGAGTCTCACATTCACCTCTTGATGGGTAGTGTTCCATCTTCACGTGGGTTTACTAACACTGCCTGATAATGTGCAGCACAGTCAAGCAGCTCTCTAGAAAACTGGCTGCAATGAATGAATGAAGCAATGGGTGCAGGCACGCATCTGAATGGCAGGTTTGTTTTCTACTCTTTAAAACTGCAGTCCTACGTGACTCATTTTAAACTTAGTCTCCTTTGTAGTGTTTCAGCATTCCACGCTCCTGCTCAGCTCACTGGCATGCATCAGGCTGGGGACTCTTCCTCAGAGCAACTCTGTTCTTCATTTGAGTTGTAATTTTTCTCTCATGGGAGCTCATCACTGGAGATGCTTTCCCCCGGGATTCATTTGCCTTGGCTCGAGGACATTCCTAAAAGGGTACTTGTGTCTGCTTCTGTTGGGCTCCCCGGGGGTTCTCATTTGTCTTTGATTGGTTTTTATGTGTCTTTCTAGGACCTGTCTCTAAGCAGATGTACTGGCTTTTGCTCCTTACCTTACAGAGGCCCAGGGTCCCGTCTCTGGTCCCTGCATAGGCATGTAAAACCCAGTTACCACCACTGAGGGTTTAGGCCTAGGTCTAAAATATCTCTTCAAGTGAGTTCATGAGCTCCCTGCCTCTGCCACCCAGAGACTTCCTTGTTATTTATTATAGCTTGAGTGTGCAATGTTCCCCTCCAGGTTCATGGGTTTGAACTACTGGTCCTCATCTGGTGGCACCGTTTTGACTGTAGGCACAAAGGTGCCATCTGCCCCATGATGCTGCATCCATTTTCTCCCTGTCATAATGGACTGTGTCCCTTCTTAAGGGGAGCTCCAGAATAAACCCTTCCTTACATTGTTTTTTAGGTAACTGTCATAGCAATGAGAAAAACAACCAGTATGTCACTCCTTGAAACATCATTATAACTCATGCCACATTGGTGTTCGTAGTGGGAAGGGTACTTGTGGGAACTGTAGCTGTGGGAACTGGTTCTTGGTCACAGTCCAGAGCTCTGCTCACAGTGGGGCCATCCACTGAAAGGATGAGGGTGACCCACTCATCTTCTACCAAGGCTGGTCGTTCAGAGCCTCAAATCTGATCATATTATGTTTATGCTTATAGTTTTTCATTGGCTTCCCTGTACCCCAAGGCTAAACTCCCAATGCATCACAGCAGCATACAAGGACCCCTACGAATACATATAGCTCCTGCTGTCCATCACATATGAAGTTCTGTGGCTCCCTTAATTCACCGGACTATTCCACATGCTTGCGTTCATTGCATCTTCTACAGGAATCTCTGTCAACCTTTGACCAATCAGACTTTATCTCTGTGTCCTTTAGATTTATGCTGCATCAGCATCTACTCTTTCTCTTACCATCTTATATTTTCTCTTTCATTGTACTCCCTGGATGGGCTGGAAACAATTTCTGTCTTATGTACAATCATATATAATTGATTAATTTGCATAGATATCTGAGGAAACATCTGAAAATTGTCCCTATATGTCATTGGCACTGCCCCAGATCAGAATGATGCTGGGGCCGGGGGAGGTGGGCATGCTACCTTCTCTTTTGATGTCTCTATTCTCCCACTGGGGAAGAAGGTAGTTGGACCAATGGTCCAACATGCATAGTACATAATTTCTAGAAGGTGTTCCCAGTCTCGTTGACTTCAGCACACCCTGCAGCACCCTTGGCAGGTTTAAGCTTCACGTCCCAAGGGCTCATTCCTGGCTCCATTCCGTCTGACTCACCTTGCAAATGGGTCAGCCAGAGTGGCTGGTTATGGTGCTCTGAGGCAATAGACAGGTTGTTGAGGGCAACGATCAGGATCCCCAGCCAATAGAAGACCTTGGATTTCACTAGGTCATGGCACTTCCAGCGGAAGACACGATTCCACTGCCTCCAGTGCCGACTGCAGGAGAAAGAAGAATTGGGATCCATGACTTTTCGCCACACTCCAGCCACACTTACTCTCTTCCATGGGCATGCAAGAGAAATGAAGGGCATGGGCCACAGAGCTGGGTCAGTTTAAACCTGGCTTCTTAGGAGCAAAGATTTGCCTTTCAAATGAGAATGATAACAATGATGATCTCCTAGGGAATTAAATGAGACAATGCAAGCAAAATGCTTAGCCTGGCACCAGATATAGATATAAGCCAGGAGCAGCATGCATTTTAATTTCCACTGAAGAGCACTGTGGTGCCAACTGTACCCATTTTTAAAGGAAGCTTTACTAACTCAAAGAGGATATCCAGATGGGCCTGTGGGAAAGATGTTTTCTTAGTTAGCACACCCTTTTGGTGAGTGATCCCACAGCTCTTACTGAAGTTTAGGCTTACTTACCCTTGACCCAGAAATTCTACTTCTAGAATTCCACCCAGAATGGGACATATTTTACCAGGAGAATTTGGTTAAATATAAAATGGTGCATCTGTACCACGGGACATTTAATAGCCAAAGTTGTATTGATAGAGATGTGTGTGTGTGTGTGTGTGTGTGTGTGTGTGCACGTGCATTCATGCTTATGTGTGTGTTGGGTATGATGCTGGAGAAATGGCTCAGCAGTTAAGAGATCTGGCTGCTGCTCTTCTAGAGAATCAGGATCAGGTTTAATCCCCAGAACCCACGTGGTGTCTCACAACCATTTGTAACTCCAGTTCCAGAGGATCTGATGCCCTCTTCTGGCCTCTGTGGACACTAGGCGTGCACATGGTACACAGATATGCATGCAGGCAAATCTTCTATATACATAAAATAAATACACTTAAAATGTGTGTCTTCATGTATGTACAGGTACATACAAGTGTGAAAATTTACCTCAGCAGAAAAGTTTAAATAAAAAAACCATGTCACAAGATAGTGTGTATTCATTTACCCAACAAATATTTTTCAATGTCTCCTATATACTGGTCACTGTTTTAGTCTTTATGGTGACAGTAATTTAAAAGAATAACCCTATTATATAAAAGCAAAACAAGAACAAAATATCCTAGTGTGTGTGTGTGTGTGTGTGTGTGTGTGTGTGTGTGTGTGTAAGATGAAAGTACAGAAAGGATCTTAGTAGAATACACATCTGTTACCATGGTTACTTCTTTGAAGGGCAGCAGGGATCTTCTTTTTTTTTTTTCCTTTGCTGTTTTTCTCTATTGTTGGATCTTTCAAAGGTTATAATTATGTATGAATTTGAAAAAGGACACAGCCTTCCTCTCAAAACAAAGATAAGAGCTTTGAGTGTCCTCTTGACTGACTTCTTAGCTAGGGCCACCCCCACATTTGCCCTCTTTTCTCTTGCAAGCTCCCAACACCCAGCATCATCTGCTCAGAGGGTACAGCCAAATGTGCTGGCTGTCTCCAAGGGCTCCTGTTTTACCTTGAGCGGTGTATAAATAGGTCATCGGCTCAGGGTCCTCCCTGATTGCTCATTCCCTGGGCATCTAGCCACTGTTGAGTCCTCAGAGCAAGAACTGGTCCTGTTTTCTCAGATAGACCTTTCTAAGGGTTCAAGAACGTGCCACGAGGAGAGGTAGCTGGATTCTGGCCCCGTGTCCCTGCCAGGTACTCACATGAACTGGATGATTTTGTTCAAGCCTTCGATTTCATACAAGCTCTCTGTGTCTGAACCCCCTTCATCCAAAGACAGCTTGCCTGAGGACAGGACAGATACAGTTATAGGCCTTCAGGGTCCCTTGGGAACAGCCACACTTGACTAGGCCTCGTTGGATAGGACACCTATGATGACGGGCTCTTGGTGGGCCCACTGCTGTGACTTCCTATGAACTGGAGAGACCTGGCTGCAGGGCACATGGCCACCATAGGCAGGCCACCAGGATGATTTGAGGAGAGTCCAGGATGCATTTGGATTCTCTCATCTTGAGGTGCAAGGCTTTACACAAGGCATTGGTGACCCTCTGAAAGCAAACACTGTACCTTTCAGTGGGTCTCTGGATATGCTGGCTAACTTTACATAAACTTGACACAAGCTAGAGTCATCTGAGAGGATGGAACCCCAACTGAGAAAATGCCTCCACAAGATTGGGCAGTAGGCAAGCTTGTAGAACGTTTTCTTAATTAGTGATTGATATGGGATGGCCCAGCCCTTTGTAGGTGAGGCCATCCCTGGGCTGGTGGTGGTTCTGGGTTCTATAAGAAAGCAGGCTGAGCAAGCCAGTAAGCAGCACCCCTCTATGGCCTCTACATCATAGAACTGTGAGTGAAATAAACCCTTTCCTCCCCAAGTTGCTTTTGGTCATGGTGTTTTATCAGAGCAATAATAACAACCCCCAGACACCTGGCTTTGGGGGGCTACATAAGGTTGCGTTCTCCAGGGAGTGACTGGGTAAGGGGTCCTGATCAGCATCAGGCAGGGTAATGTTGGCCATGGCTCTGGGCTCCAACCTTCTCTCAGGTCCTCCACGTCCATGACCTCGCCCTGTGTGATCCAGCTCATGTAGCCACGAAGGTCCTCCTCCAGCTGTTGCTTCTCCCGGAGCTTTTGGAAGGTTCCCCTGGACTTGGCCTTCTCCCTCTCCTTGGTGAATTCCCTAAAACAAAACCAGGGAGGTAGGAGTGGGAAAGAAGCAAGGAGGCAGGGAGAGAGGAAAGGGGGCGGGGATAGAGGGAAGGGGGCGGGGATAAAGGAAAGGGAGCAGGCCCACTGAATAAAGGAAAGGGAGCAGGCTCACTGAGCTTCCTTAACACAAGGCATACCTGAGCTGGACATGTCCTCTGTGGTCTGAGGCACTGTCTGTGAGCCAGGGACCCTCAAAGTTTCCCCCTGGGAGGGCCTAGGCCCTATCCCAAAGGATATGACAGACTCTGAATGTAAAATAATCTTGTTTCTAATTTAAATTAAAAAATGGAGAAAAAAAAGTTTCCCTCTGTCTCTCCTTTGCCCAGCCCCACCTCCAAGCACACTTCCAAACACTATTATAGGCCTCTAATTCCTTCCCAGACGATCTCATTTTCTCCTTCGTTTTATTCTTGGATGTCAGGGGTTGACAGGACGTTCCATTATTCCAGTCAGAAAGCCTCAAATTTGCCACACCCCTTGGCCTTTTAAGCTATCCTAAAATGATTTCTGCTTACAGACTGAAGACCAGAGAAAATCCCCTTGAACACAAAGGGGAACTGGCAGTCACCAGGCCAGGAAGCAAAGAACCTGAAGATGGTGCAAGGCACCTTATGACCAGTAGAGGGAAGCACAAGGCCACCACGCAGAGCTAAAATGTGCTTTAGAAGAGACACTGGTTCAATTAGTACAGATTTAAACCCAGGGGGCAGTAGGACAGTCACCTCACCCTGGCAGCGTGGTGTTCAGCTGGGCACTTGTGACCACTGTATGCATGAAGTTTTTGGTAGTCCACCCAATGAAGCCCACCCACAGATCACCCCTCAGACTAATGTCACAAAGTGTACAAACTAAGAGCATATAATTACAAAAGAGCTGATCAAAGTGAAATATAACCACAGAAATATAATAAACGTCAACAAAGGGATGCAGGTGCTTCTTCATTAGCTACAAGAATCCTGTTGTGGCTCTAGTGACCACCGCCATTTCCCAAGCAATGATGTATGTAAAAGGGAGTACAGCAACGGACATGTGATATGATTTCCATTAGGAAAATCCACAGCCGCTGCTAATGCCACTGTGGTTAGTTGCCTGCATTCATTATTAAAGGAAACACACATTTTAGTTAATGCAATAGAAAGCCAGGGTGGGTTTTCTCTAACCAACTTCACAGACTGCTGAGTTCTGTTTACAGGCTGCCAGTGGTGGGGGTGGGGTGGGGGGCACTTCTGGAGTGAGGTGATGTCAACCCAGAAGGGAGCTGAGGCTATAGCTAGCCTGCCGCTGTGGCTGGGGTGGACCACAGCTGAGATACTCTGCCGAGAACAGCATTCATTAGTGATGAGAATTTGTATGTGCTGAATTCTGTTGTAAGCACTTTAAATGCATTTCGTGACAACCCTAGGAAATGGGTCCTGCAATTATTATTTGACAGATGCAAACACTGAGGCACCGAGAGCTTAGGGAATTAGGTGGGGTCCCAGAGCCTCTAAGTAGTAAGTAGTACAGGGCCGAGACAGGCAAGCTACCTCTAGACAGTGCTTGACCAGGTAGTGTGTAGTGGCACACACACACGCAGGGCCAGGCTCTGGGGCTTACAAGCTCACACTCGAGTGTGGGTGCTGGAGGACAAGAGGAAGCAAAACTGGGAGAAACGTGCAAGCTTGAAGGACGTATTTTCTGCCTTCCTAGCTCAGAAGGGAGAAGTGTGCCTGGCCCGGCAGGGCTCACAGATGAGCTGAGGGCTCCTTTCTCCCCTCCACCAGCTGCCATTACTTTCTTACCCGCTCAGGACACCCAGCACCAGGTTGAGGATGAAGAAGGAGCCCAACAGAATGAGGGTGACGAAATAGATCCAGGGCCACTCATTCCCGATGGCATCGTTGACCTGGTCCAGACAAAAGTGTGAGTTCAGTTCTCTGACCTGAAGGATAATTCCTGTCTCCAATTCTGTCTGCACAGATTTCATAGGGGGGTAGTCATCTGTGTCTGATGAGAAGACCTTTTCCAGTCTGGGGACCCAAGATCCGGGCTGAAAGGTCTTCCCAAGGAACCCTTGCTGACTGTGCACCTGGCCCAGGCTAGGCAGATCCATTGTCCACCTAGTCACAGGAGCTTCTAACCTGCCTCTTAGACCCCATGTGCAATCCATTTCTTTACAGCCAAAACTTTTCAAAGCGACAATCCTCTGTGACCCCAAACCAAGTGTCCCAACATCTCTGTGCATTTTCTCATCTATCTCATAAGGATATAGTAGTGCTCTCCTCCTAGATGTGTAGCGGAGGTGACATAGCATGTGTGACATTCCTTTGACATGTTTAATCATCCGCTTCCCTAGTGTGAGCCTGTGAGAAATGTTCATACTAATCCTTTATATTTGCAAAGCATTTGACAGTTTTACAATTCCAACCCCACAGGCAGCACTACATTGTGCTTGGGAGTTCTGGGTTACAGCCAGATGGGTGAGAGCGCAATTCCTGGCTCAGTTGCTCCTTAGATTCATGGATGCACTTACATAACCTCCCCGAGCCTCAGTTTCCTTATCTGTAAAATGGGAATGATGCTGTCTGTTGTTGTGCTACTACACATTAAATAAGAAATGCAACAGGGCTAAAAAAAATATCTAACAAAGAGCTTTCCCTAGTGAGATAGCTTCTGCAATGATGATTATATATCTGGCAATGTTAACAATTCTGTAAGTTTTCTCCCTAGCTCTATAATGTGAGTAGTATATTACCTTTATAGAAGAGAAAACTGATACATAGTGATATTTACATAAGAAAGCCATCTCACCCAATGGCAACGAGAAGACCCAAAGGGCCTCTCGTCTGTCAGGAGTCCAAGACACAGGACACCAGGGTCACTGACATTCTAGAGAAAATTCCATAGAACTCATGGAACTGCTAGTATCCATCCCTCACCTCCTTCATGAGTCTTGCAGACCTTGCACCGTGAGACCTGCCCCGGGGATACTAGACAATCTCCAGGCATGAGAAAGAGGTCATACACCTGCATGGATGCCCAGGGAAGGCAAGACAGAACCAACGACACTGAGCAGTAGCTGGCCTCTGGGGCAGACATATAAATCCTTTTTTCCTGCTCCTCTAGTAAGTTTTTAGAAGGCAGGGATGGTTGGGAGGCTCAGACCCACCCAGTATAAGACATCGGTCCACCCCTCCATGGAGATGCATTGGTACACGGTGAGCATAGAGAAGCCAAAGTTGTCGAAGTGGGTGATGCCATGGTTGGGTCCCGGCCAGCCCCCTCGGCACTCACTGCCATTGATGGTGCAGGGGCGCCCAGAGCCAGTTCTAGCACAGGGTGATGGCTTCTCGTTCTCCACTGTGGCCACAATGTCTGGAGGCAGAAAGCAGTAGCATTAGGCAAGGGGACAGTGCTGGAGGCCAGCTTTTCAAGGACGGTTTGAAAGAACAGAGTAACAGAGATGAAGAGGGGCAGGACCAAAACTGACAGTTGGCACCTACAGGAGGCGGCAGTTATGTTTTAGAAGAACTAAAAGAACTTTGGAAGGACCACTCCCAAGATGAACTGTCCCTTGAAGCTCAACTCGTGCCTTCTGAGATTTAAAGAGGAGGACACTGTCCACCTGGGGTAGGCTGGGGACACGGGCTCCCATCCTCTGACCTGAGATTCAGTCTGGGGAGTCAAAGTAGAGCTGTTCCAATAGCACAGGGTTGAGCTGTGCAAGTCACAGAGCACACAGGGTCAGGTCCATCTAGCTTCAGATCACACCCTGTGTGTCCCCCAGGGAGTCTTTTATTTCCTCTCTCTCTCTCTCTCTCCCTCTCCCTCTCCCTCTTTTTCTCCCTCTCCCTCTCTCTCATGTGTGTGTGTGTGCCTGTGTGTGTGAGCATGTGTATGTATGTGTGACAGCATGTGTGTGTGTGTGTGTGTGTGCGCGCGCGCGCATTTTAAAAGCAGTGGTTACTAAAAAATTTGTGTGTGTGTGTGTGTGTGTGTGTGTGTGTGTGTGTGTGTGTGTGTGTATCTGCCTGTGGTGTGTATGTGCCTGTGTGTGTGCATGAGCACATGTGTGTACATGTACACTACTGTATGTACACCACATGTACACTACTGTGTGTGTGAAGCCCAAAGGTCAATATCAGGTTTCTTCTTCAGTTGCTATCCACTTTATTTCTTGAGACAGGGTCTCTGGCTAAACATGGAGTTCAGTGTTCTGTCTATGCTGGCTGGCCAGCAAGCCTCTAGGCTCTGCCTATCTCCACCCTTAGTGCTACTGCTCCTGGCTTTTTACATGAGTTCTGGGGACCCAAACTCAGGTCCTCATGCTTGCATAGGAAACACTTTACCCTTTGGACTATGTCCTCAGCCACTGAAATCTAGCAATTTTGCTAATATATTGTCTTAGGACAAAACAGCATCCTGCTATTATCATTGGCACAGAGTGCCCTGCCTTACCACACTTACAATGTCAGCTCGGAGCTCTGAAGGTGGGCGGGGAGGACAGTGAGGGTCAGCTTGGGGTCCTGGCTCTATGATGCTGGTGGCTCTGATCTGAGAGGAGCATTTGAATGTTGCTACTCAGCACTCATTAAAGGCTTGGCTCCTCCAAATTTGCCCCAGAACACATTCTAGACAGTCCCTGCTATTGTGGGGCAGAGCAAGCTGTGGCCAAGCCTGGCCTCTAATCTCTGATCCTAGTGGAGCTGTTCTTGCTCTCACTCTCATGAATCCAGGCAGGAGATGCCCCTTTCCAGGTGGACAGTGGGGAGAGGACTTGGCTTGGACACAGAGCTTCTTTACTAGCTGTGATGGCCCTATTTGGAGTTGAACTGGGGCCTCTACCCCTCCACACTCCTGCATAACTCACCCGTCCCAATAAAGTAGCAAGTCTTGTGCATCTTGCCCTTGAAGAGCTCCAGTCCAATGATGGCGTAGATGATGACCATAAAGAGGACAAGCAGGGCAATGTGGAACAGGGGGAGCATGGCCTTGAAGATGGAGTTGAGGACGACCTGAAGGCCTGTCACAAACAACAAGGAGCCGGGGAAAGAGTCACTCCCCCTCATAGCCTCATGCCTTTCCCTCTATAAACAGTGGGATACCCAGGTCCAAAGGGGCAAAGGAAGGCTTGGGAGAAGAGATACTGTCACCCACTGGGCACCCCTGACACCAGCCGAAGGGGTCTGAGCACGCGGAAAGCTCGCAGGGCCTTCACATCCAAGCCAGCTCCTTTGCTGCTCATGGGGGCCGTGTTGGTTTGAATAATGTTAACTTGTTCCAGAATCGCAGTGAAGACACTGGAGGGGAAAAGATGGAGAGAAGGCAGTCAGCAATCAGATGAGCTGGAGTCCCAATGCTGTGGGACCCTGTATCCTGCCATGTGAAGGACCTTTGGTGGGGAGGGAGTGTTAGGGGACAAACACAGGTCTCAATTGTAAGCGCTGAAGAATTTTTCTTCAAGGAATCTGATGCCAAGTTTACTTTTGATCTATTGGTGGTGAACAGTGCTGGGCACAGAAAGGGAGGCTTCAGGTTGAGATACAAGTGTACCATGGGCACAGCCCCTGGTCCTGAGGCTGACAGCATCACAGTGAGCTGCAGATTAGCCCCTCACTCATTGATGATACAGAGGAAAAATCCCAGAGTTCTCTCCTCATCTCCCTGGGATGGCCTTTCAGCTTATGCTGGGCCTTCCTGCTTCCCTCCTCCCTCTTCAAAGCTTTGAAGCCCATTCAACTCTCAGGAGCATCATCTGACAATGGCCCCTGAGTTCATTGGGAAACAATGGCGCTGTGTGGAACAAAGGGTCTGCTCTCTGATTCTCTATTCATCTAACTTGGCTTCCAACCAGAGCACCTCACAGGGGCCATAAGGATGCTTTAGTTTTTCTTGTGGTGAGAGATGCACTGAGAGACCAGAAGATAACCAATAGTGGCTAACTGTGCAGCCTCTGGAGCCAAGGATGCCTCGCTTTGCATCCTGCTCACGGTGTGACCTCGGTCAAGTCGCTCAGTTCTCTGTATCTTAAGTCTCTTCACCCACGGCATGGAGGAAATGGAAAAGTCGTTGTATGTTACATGTTAAAAGGCATGGTAAGTCCTCAATAAATGCAGCTGTTAGAATTAGGCAATGATTAATAGAAGTGATGTCATAGGCTAACAAAAAGTCATTTGTTGAAATTTTGACACCCAGTAACTCAGAACGTAACTCTGGAATAGGGCTATTAAAATGGGGTCATCTGGGCCGGCTGTAACCCAATTGAATGGGTTTACTTATAAGGGGGAAATCTTATATACAAAAAGGCACCCAGGGTGCATGCTTGTGGACAGATCACATAAAGCCACAGTGAGAAGGTGGCCTCTTACAGCCAAGGACAGAGGTCTGGGGACACCAGACCTGTCCACACTGAACTTTGGACTTCTGTCTCCAGAACCAGCTGTACCAGAGCTGCAGACAGAGCACACTAATGCAGGCTACTAGATGTCCATATTTGTGTACTCCAGTAACACCACAGTGTAGGTCTGTAGAACCAATGTACAAATGGCCAAGGTGGCCACTGGATCCACTCACATGTCCTCTTGCATGCGGCTGGGAGAAGACGAAGGAACTTAGAGCTGGTGAAGTGCTTTGTGACCTGCAGGCAGGTGTTGGGGTCACTGGTTCATTCCCCACCAACACTGACCTCACCCCTGGGGTGGTCAGTGCAATACTGAGGTCCCATCTTGCCTCTGGGCTGCTGGTAGTGTCTGCGGGCAGAGTCTTCAGGGAAGATCTGACTCCAGCCCCTCCCCTCTCTTCCCCCGCCGCCGGCTCTTACCCCAGAAAGACAATGATGAAGTCCAGCACGTTCCAGCCACTGCGTAGGTACGCATCCTGATGGAATAGGAAGCCGTAGGCTATAATCTTCATGGCAGCCTCAATGGAGAAGACAATGAGGAAGAAGTATTCCAGTTTCTCCTGGAATGGAGGAGGTGGTGGTAAGCACGGTCACACCTTCCTGCTGCACACTCCCAGTGTCTCCTCACTCTAGCCCCAACTGTCCTCCAGCCACCAGCTTCTGCAGCTCCTAGATGCTCCCCCTCCACCCGCCACAGCGCCCCACCCCCTTCAACTCTTCACTCAAAAGCTGTCCCCTTAACAAGTGCAATTTAAGCCACTTCTCACTTTTCAGATCTTCTTCCAAGCTTCATGTTGCCTTTTTAACACCTGCCTAAAGTGCCCTGTATGTGCATTCATTAGCTCTTTCCTCACCCGAAAATAAACTCCACAACACAGTGGAATTTCTGCCCATTTCCCACCTTACTTCCAGGACCTAGAGTTGGATGAATAAAGCAATGATCCAACACTAGCTAGTTTTTTGTTTGTTTGTTTTTGTTTTTTGTCAACTTGACACAAGCTAGAATCATTTGGGGAAAAGGACTAGGACTCTGAATTGAGAAAATGCCTCATAAGATTGGCCTATAGACAAGCTTGTCAGGCATCGTCCTGACTAATGATTGGTGTGGGAGGACCCAGCCCACTGTGGGTGGTGCCACCTGCTCACAGGTGGGCCTGAGTTGTATAAGATAGTAGGCTGAGCAAGCCATGGGGAGCAGGCCAGTAAGCAGAGTTCCTCCATGACTTCTGCTTCAGTTCCTGCCTCCATGTTTCCACCCTAAGAGCCTTCATTTGACTTCCCTTGGTGATGGAGTGTGATCTGACAGTTGTAAGATGAAAGACACACCTTCTTCTCCAAGTTACATTTGGTGGTTGTGTTTTGTCCCAGCAATAAAACCCTAAGACAGATCCCCAAGTGGCTTCCAGTGTGGGCATTTTCCCTCTCCCACCACTCAGTGGACTAAAGCTAGGAATGGGGTGGCCTTAGCACCCCAGTGACCATCTCGTGCTGACCAGGGTCCTTTGCTCTTTTTTATTTTTCTGGCATCCACTACAGCTGTCTACAGGCAGTTTCCACCAGGCAGGGGATGAGAAAATAGAGTGCCCTGTGTAAGAGGATGCTCTGTTGGTGAGGGGCTGGGATTTCAGCTCAGCCTCACCCTGAAGATGGCCTTGCTGACTCCTCCATACCCTGTCCTGTAGCCCGATCCTGGGTCACCCTGAGCTTATCCAGGTCACCCTTTCTCTACTCAGGGCCCAGGCAAGAGCTATTTCTAACTGAGAATCAGTTCCCTCCTGGCCTGGTTCCAAGTTGAAACTGCTCCTCTTGCAGCTATCTGAACTTTGGCTCGGTGGTTTCTAGTAGCTCCACTCCTCCAGGCTCCCTGCACAATCCTAGCCTTCTGACGGGGTATCGAGGGTGCACACACCAGCAGGTGACTTCACTGGGGCATACAAAGTTGTTTTAACAAGAGAGGATTTGTGCCCACAGCCCAGTTCCCCTATTACCATCACTGAGTAATGCCCATTCCTAGTAAAGCACCCCAGTACTAGGGTCTCTCCAAGAACCCTTCAGGGGTCTCTTTTATTGTGACTCATGTTCCTTTATTGTGGACACAGACAGATCGGGAAACTGGCCACCCTAGAAATGACTTGGAAGATGTTCAAGGAGAAACAGAGGCATATATGAGCTAGATCTATTCTTTGTTTTGTTTTTGTTGTCTGTTTTTCAAGGCAGGGTTTTTCTGTGTAGCCCTGGCTGTCCTGGAACTTGCTCTGTACAGCAGGCTAAGTTTAAACTCAGAGATTCGCTGGTCTCTGCCTCCTAAGGGCTGTGTTTAAAGGTGTGTGCCACCACCTCCTTAGACCTATTCTTTTTAACATTTCCCCCAAACCCCTCTCAGTTTGCAATCTCAAAGCTTTCTCCCTCCAAAAATATAGTGTGCAATTGAAAGGCACCTCCACACTATCCCATTAACAGGGCTGTTAGTGGGTTGAGCATCATGAGCCCAGGTCCAGCAGAAAGATTTGTGGGACAAATACTGCCTCCATACAAGAGAGCTGCCAGGGCCAATCTGGATACCATTCTTGCTGAGAGGAATGGGGTGAAACCATTGTGGAGAGTCTCCTGGAAATCAGCTGGATGGCCTTCCCTCTGTGTGGTAAGTGTCCAGGAGTCAGGCCTGTCTCTCAGGGAAAGGCAAATGTATTGATAGGGACGTTAAGCCAGCATGTAAATTTTCAGGTTGATTCAACCCCCAAGGGACAGACAGGAGAAGTTCTGTTGAGGGAAAGGAAAACAGGACCCAAAATAGTTGCCGTGCTCACAGCTGGGCGGCTAGCCACGTATACCAGAGAGCGGCCTGCACCTGCTGCTGTCTATCTGTCTCTTGGCCACAGAGCAAGTTTGTAGGGGGTGTGGGCCTCAGATGGGGGTCACTTGGGGTTCATAGCCCACGAGTTCTAAGATCCAACTCTCTCCTTTTACCACTCTGCAGCCTAATGCTGGAGAGGACACAGCATGCCCCTTGTTGTGTAGACATGGACCAGGGATGTATCCATTCTTGTACTATAGGTACAGGGTTATCAGTGTTACACTGTGCTGGCACCATGCCTCTCTAGCCTATGTGTCATCCACAGAAGAACAAGGGCTATACACTCCCCAGGTATTTATTAATCTTGAGACTAAACCCCCAGGCATGGCCCCCCTGGGTGTCATCCTGTAATCAAGCCTTCCTAAAACATTTCCATCATTGTGGGGAGTCTGTTGTCAATGTTTGGAGGCGGGAGACATAGGGCACACATTCTCCCTGGCTATTTCTTTACTCAGCTCCCTCTATGAACCTCAGTTTCCTTGTGGTGGTTAAGAGCTAATTCAGTGGTTAAGAGCACTAGCTGCTTTTCCAGAGGACTCCCAGTTCAACACCCAGCACCCACGTGGTGGCTCACAATCATCTAAAATTCCAGTTCCAGGGGATCTAATGCCCTCTTCTGGCCTCCAGGGGTACTGCACACACATAGTGCACATACACACATGCAGGCTAAACACCCATACATGTAAAATAAAATAAATAAATTTTTGGTTAAAACTAAGCTAATTGACCCCATCTCCAAAGAGTTGCCCTGAGGATTAAATGACATCCTGTAAGAGATGGTGTCCCACTCCACAGTGGGTGACAGGTCTTCTATATACCTGGCTCTTTGTGGAGGGGTTTTGCTACTTGTACCATGGCATCCATGGTGTTCTCTTGGTCTTCACAGAGCTGCTGGGTGGAGACACACCAGTGAGTGGCACACCAAGGCATGTCTCTATCCAATAGAACTCAACATGTCTGAGCCTGAACCTCTCTTCCCCTTGAACCTGCTCTTCCTCACAAGGCCTTCATTGGCCAATTGTGTCCATTTACTCAAGACAGAGGTCTCTCTGGGCTTGGATCCTACCAGGTCCAGCATTAGAATGCCCAATTCATCTATCTCATCTCCACTAGAACTGCCCCTGCCCCTGCCCCTGCCCCTGGCTCACACTCTCTGTAGTCACTTGCTGCCTTTCATGGTCCCTTCTCTCCTAGTCCCTTTCTACTCTGGCTACTTCATCATTCCTAGTCTCCCATGGCCATGTGGTTTGTCAGGTAAACCCACAGAGTACGTAGCCTCTTAATAAATGACCCCTGCTGACCTTCACTGCTGGACTTAACCATTGTCCTGCACACACTGTCCTGTCCTGTGAGATGACCTTCAGACTCTCCAGGTGACCTAGCCACCGAGCCTTTGTTCACCTAGGCTCATATGACGTCTATGATTGTCCCCCAGGAGAATCTGCCTGGGTGTCTGTATTGTGTGGGACCCTGTTCTCCATCGCCTCTGCTAAACTGCAGCCTCCTAGAGGCAATGCCATCTTCCTGTGTGTACTGACTGTAGGAGTCCCAATGGTTTTGACCCCAAGAACAAGTGAAGGGGAAATTCCCCCTTTGGAGCAGGATTTGGATAAGTAAGGTGCTAGGGTCCCTCATAAGAGGGCATCTCAGGGTAAGTACTAGAAACAAGGAGTGGCAGGGTTTGAAGACTGCATACTGCCCCCCTCTTCCAGGGGCTAGCTTTTCCCTCACACTCAGGGGAAAGAATTTTTGGCTCAGGTTTGGCCCCTTGCTGTTTCTTCTGCCTGGAATGCTATTCCCTGGGGCTCACTGTCTTCGTTCTCTGTGGCCTCAGCTTATGGTTGATCACTTCTGTGTTACCCCCTCCCTACTTCTAGCTCCTTACTGTTGACACGTCACTTTGTTTGTTTGTTTCATCAGACTTCAAGACTTAATTGCCAGCTCTGTTTTTTGTTTGTTTGTTTGTTTGTTTGTTTGTTTGTTTTTTTCACTTAACTGTCCCCTGACATGAATACAGGACTGTTTGCTCAGTTTCCTGCTGTGTCACCTGCATCTGGACAGTGTGTTTGTGGACAGCATCGGGCCTTTCTGCCTAAGAGACAAACTATGGGCTTGGGTGGGCCTGCAGATGGCTACTACCACCGAGGCAAGATGAGATCAACGGGTCCTTGAGGAAGCTCTGTGAAAACCCCACAGCAATGCTTAGCTTCTAAGTGTGACCGGGTGACGAATGTGGGCTTGCCAGTCACATAGCAGGTCCCATGTAGCACAAGTGAAGTGACCCACACAGAACAGATCGGAAGTTATAAGCAACAAACAGACCCTAATACCAGACTAGGGAAGACAGTCTTTGACCTTGGAGCAGACTCTTTGCCCTGCTGTCCTCCTGAACTCACGGGAAGGCTAGGAAGCTGCCTGGGAGGCAAAAGCTCCAACAGCTCCACTTGCAAAGGCATTTATCACCAGTACCCAGTGCAAGAGGTCCTCCCACCGACAGGCCTCTAACGGAGCTTCATGGCTGCACTTGGTGTGTAAGTCTGAGTACAGGCCCTGCATCTGTGTATTGCCACATGGGAGCCAGGCGTTCCCACAAAAGAACAGGGCTCACAATGCACATCACTTGCACAGCCTCTATCCCCCATCTCCCAGTGACTCCCACCCGGGCGTGCCTTGGGCTTTGAGAGAAGATGGTGGCAGTCAGCCAGA